GAGTACAGGATGCTCATAGATGGACTGCAGTGAAGAGCTATCCTCCCCATCCTGGTGATGGAGGTGGGATAAGTAAGTGGGGAAGTCTTCAAAGAAAGATGGTAGAAAGGAGAAGCTAGAGTCAGAGAGATGAAGTAAGGCTTATGGTGAGAAGTGATTAGAAAGACAGCTGGGTGAAAATGATCTGTACCAATTAGGCGCAGAGTGCGATAGAGCTGTAAGGGGTTTACAGCAGGTTAGATTGATAAAAGAGGGCTATAGCTGATAAGCCACACAATGAAGCAATGGAAAAGAACCAAAGACATGCAAAAAGAGAGTTTCAAATCAGTAAGTGGCGGTTTGGTTTGTTGTATTAATTGTGTACCATTAATGCAAAATTTGTTCCTTAAGTTTTTGTGAAGAGGAATACAGAAATTTAGAAATCACAGTTTTTTGTAAACTTGGAAAGCATATTATAAATATAGATGCCATGCAGGTGACATCAAAGACTTGTCAAACTTCGATTCCAACCACAGCCATATTCAGTACCTTCTCTGGTCCCCTGTGTGTCAAAACTGTAATCCATATGTTGTAGCATCGGGTGTGACAATAAAAAGGGGGACCCCAAAAAGAAAAAGGTGCATTTAATATTAAGATCGGAATATTATACTAAAGACATTATAGTTGTGTTTCATTGTTTACCTAAAAGCAAGCATAAAGACCTGCAGAACGCAACGTACCTTTGCTTTACATATGACTATCTTCTTGTTTTTCAGATGCCATTTTCGGGTCAATAACCCTGCCAGATGTGAAATGCCCATAGGCATCTGTGCGACAACTTATGTATAATATATACTGTATGTATATGTCATGAAAGGAAAACTCAGGAAGCTTGTCTGTTGAAGAAAGGTGATTAAAAAGTCTGCAGGGATTTCATATGGATAGCATTCAATATCCACGATTTCTCTGTGTGTCGGTTAAGCTGATGGGGATTTAAATGAAAATGATCCATTCTGGTCAAGAGGAAGTACCACAGAGTTAAGCTAAGCATTTGGTACTCAATATGGGGGTGATAAGATAGAATGCTTCATGATGTCACACTTCTGAAAATCATCTATATATTACCTCCACCTGCTGTGAACTTGCAAGCTAGTGAGAAAGGCAATGATGGCAGATAAACAGCTATAGATGCACTGGTACGGAACGATCATCAACAGTATGCTTACATTGATTTACAGATGCAGCACACCTGCGATCTTGAGCGATTGTGCTGGCTGCGAGACGCAGGAAGGTGAACAGCACATACACTAGCAGCCATTCAAAGTGGCCTTTTCCAGTCAAATTTCAGCCGAAGGGCAGCCAACTTCCAGCCACTGGAATGACCCTCTCTTTTTCCTGGGTGTGCATATTTCTTTACTCTTACTCCACCCTTTCACTGAATTACAGAGTTTGACCAGATGAAGCTGCTACTCTTTAGATCTCTATGTCACCAAATCATGACAGAAAGAACATTTAAGCACAAAGAATCTCAGGGGACCAACCAAGGACCAGCCAAAGACCAGCCAAGGGCCCATCATAGAAAGTGGGGAAATTTTGAATGGCTACTACTGAAATGAACGTGATTGGTACTGCTTAAACTTTCCTTCTGGTGCTTGATTGGTTGTTTCTGACTGGGAGTAGTGTATTTCTGCAAAAGACAGTAATACCACTGGGAGGAGGAAGAATAGCACGATTTTTCCCCCAGATAATCTGTCTCACATGTTACTATCAGGTTACTTTCTATTTTTGTTGGCTTTTTTTTAGTTTTTTACTACACCTTTAAAGTTGAGATCTGGATGCTTATTCAACAGCTGCACAGGAGGTCCCACAATTTCTTCAGGTTTGCTAATGTGGAGCCTAAGTGGAGTGATACAGCAATGCCATGAAAAGGGAAGCTCCCAGACAGGGAAAGGAGGCATCACAATGAAGGGAAATATTTTTTTTTTGGTTGGAAGAAATCTGTCAACATTTCATAACAAATAAATACTCTGTAGAACCAGAGGTAATATTACATCATATATATCTGCCTAAGGTGGCATTTGAAAGGCTTAAGAGTGTATTACATAGGACCTTTAAATTAATGAATTTGTGAAATACAGGTCTGTACATCAGAGGACACAGTGAAAAGTACGTTGTTTTTTTTTTCAAATGTACCTTATAAGCTCAATCCAATGCTCAGCGTTATATATATTTTTTCCAGTGTTTTGTTGTCATTACTCTGTCACAAGTGCAGTGCAACGAAAATTCACTCTTTGCATTTAAACCAACCCCTTGTTGAGCAGCGTGCTGCCATTTGCTGCACCTGGGGAGCAGTGTGGGATTAAGGGTCTCTGCTCAGGGACCCAGAGTGACAGTCCGTGGGAGTGGGTTTCAAAATCACAACATCAGGATTCCAAGCTCCATGATCTAACCACTAGGCCACAACTCCTGTTAGAAATGGCTTGGCGTAAGTGACTTTGATGACTGCTATGTTGGATGGTGCACGTGATGTAGCTGTAGTTATTCTATCCAAATGTTGACTTGATAGCATATGCAAATAATACATGTGAAGAGTTTGCACAATCTTCTTACTTGTATTCAGTCGATCCCTCCTGAATAATTGCATTTTGTCAAACATTACTGTTTCCTCAATGTCACAAGCCTTTGCTGTCACTACTTGTCTCAAGAAGTCTGAGTGCAGCAATTACAGAGTTTGTGTCTGGCTGCTAGTTGGTCCTCTGGGCATCTATATTGTGGTCTAATTCCATCCACACTCTGTGGGGTAATTCGATCATCTCTCACAGCTTGGGGAGAGGCAGCTCTGTACATGGGAGAAAAACTCAGATTAATCTATTTAGAGTGGATTTCTAACACATTATTTGATGGACTCCTGTGTATAAGGTGTCAAAAGATAAACTCTTTGAAACATGTCAATATAACTTTTACAGTCGGCAAAAGGAAACAGTCACACTAAGTACCTCAAAATCCATGTGTTCTTAAACAGTTTTAATTTTCAAAAAACAAGAGGCATCTAGTGCCTCTATTGGTTAGTCTGTCGGGAATACTGGACAAGGATTATGGGAATATAGTGCCATCTACAGGTAAATGCTTTGTCTCCTCTCAGTTTGGATAATGACACTGTTTAAATGTGACTCAAGTATCATTTTCTTTATGTAATGTTTTGGAAACCTAATAAATCACATTTTAATGACCCAAAAAGAACATCTTGTTCAAATTGGACAAAACACTAAAACAACAATGAATAGCAAAGCTACAAATACTGTATAAATGGTGGTTACCACAGCTCGCTAGTAGTAAATGTGCTATTTTCTGTGCTGAAGTAAGACTTTTAACCTCCTGTTTTGAACCCCACTATGACTGACTGGACAGAATTACACAGATAAATGCACTCTAGACCTGTATTTGAGAAGGGTTAATCAGGGTAAGGGTGGCTGAGGGTATTTAATTCATACCAGATCCAATAGCGCCCCTGTGTGGTCATACAACAAAACAGTAAAAATGTATTTTAAGGTTGTTTTTTTTTTTTTTTTTTTTTTTTTTGTTGTTAGCCACAATATATTTCCTCAAAAACAGCATTCTTAAAATATTGTAAGGTGTTAAGAACAAAACTGTAACATAAGCTGTAGAAGAAAAAGTCATATATGTAAATGTACCTCTTCAATGCTATGATTAAACCTTTTTTTTACTAGATGAAAAAATCAAATAGTAGCCTCTATCATTTTATTAAAGAATTAGGCTCCACATTTTTGCAATGTAAGGAATTTCCCCTTATCCATGCTGGTCTAAATACATATTTACACTAACACTTTGTTAAATGTTGCTTGCTATACATTCTTCTGGATATTTCAGTTTATTTGGGGGGGGTTAGCATCATTAATTTATATCAATGCTTTACTCCCATGGACTTGACTTCAAGGGGGAGACCACAAAACATTTCAATTTAATTCAATAAGATTTAAGTTTATTTAAAGAGCGCCAATTCACATCATATGTCGTCTCAAGGCACTTCACAGAGAAAAAGCTGTCAGATTGGTCATGATAACCAGTTAACTGAATCCAATCATTAACTTGCAACACAAACTCATCCTGGATGAGCTTGCGGAGACAATTTTTGCTTGCATGTTGCCATTGACTCTTCAGCAATCCCTCACACCAGGTATGCATGTAGCAACAGTGGAGAGGAAAAACTCATTTTAAGCGGCCATCTGCTGAAGCCGACTGGGGTACAAGGAGACAGAAGCAGACATAGAAAAGATGGAACATTTGGTACCAATGTTTTGTGGACCTTGGGGTTGAAGGGGTACTTACTGACTTCTAGCAACACTTGAAAATTGATGGTCATGTATTCTGTCCCTCCAGTCTGACTTTGTATTTTAATGTCTTTGCGAAAATGAAACAAAAAAAAAATCACTAAAGTGAAGCAATAAGGAAGCTAAGGGCTCAGATTGTCAGAAGATGTATTTATGTTATACAGTCATTTTTATTTAATTTTATTACAGACATTTACATTTCATATTAAAATTATTGATAAAGATAATTCAATTTTTTTTCAAGTCTGAGGTTGCATCATCTTTCAAACAACATTTAAAACATCCATTTCATATTTAAGTTTGAATAAAACATAAACTTTATCACTTCTATACTACTATATCATCCAAAAACTATTCATCAAGCAAGTTGTTCCTCAACAATACTGACATCTTAACATAAAAATATATATGAAATAGACCCTTTTTTTTTTAGATTTGTTCATATGAATCTCCATAAATAAAGGTTTATAAATAAGAACACAATTCTTAAGCTATTACAGTTACTCTTATATTCACCTATTTAAAAGAGAAAAATGTACATATTTTTGCTCAATTTCAATTAAAAAATACTTGCATTGAAGGTCGTTCAAGAAATCGGAATGACTTTCAATGCAGTTTGTAAAAAATAAAATAAAAAAAAAAACAGATACCCAAAATTGTTTTGAGGTCTGATGTTAAATTTTAGCATTGAATCTCTGACGTCTCCTATCTTGATGATGTTACATCTGGTTTTGGTTGTACTGTGGGCTGGAGAACTGATCTTGCATGGCTCCAGTAGCAGCCCCCATGGCGGCCTGCTGGGCTGCTTCCTGGACATGAGGGTTCTTCCACGCTCCTGTAGCCCACTCTTCCTGAGCTTTGGACATGCTGGCCCCAGTACCACGATAGAAATTATGGATCTGTGGGCAAGGTAGGATAACAACTTAATAATGAAAGATTTTCTCATGAAAGATACACGTCCTTTCCAAAAGTACTTAAACCTCTTGAGCATTTTCTCAATTTTTCATATTTCAGATATTTGCACAGAGTACGACATATTTCACCAGATTTTTAGCGGATAAATTATCCAAGTTTATGGGTACCTGAGTTGTCAAAGAAAAATGATTCATACTTTTGAAATGCTCTTACAAGCAAAAATCTGAAAATGCTCTGAGATCCATTTGTATTAAGCCTTCTATATTGTTAGAATATCTGTGAACAAACAGCATCAGTATAACCAAGCAACACAGCACAAAGTTCAGGGATAATAATGTATGAAGTAGAGATATTTTATAAAACAATATCACAGTTTTTCACACAGCTAAGAGAGAAAACTGAAAATGAAAAGCTATGGTAAAGAAGGACAGGAAAGGGGAGCACTGATTAGAGACCAGAAAGGCCTGTGGTAAAGCTATGGGCGAGAATTGCTCCAATATGATTGTTAACAGGAAAAGTATCGGTCATGACTTCCTCAAATCTCCATCTTTAGAAAATTGTGAAAAGATGAAAGCTATTGTAAAAAAATTCAGCAGAGGTGTTGTTTTTGGATGGCTATAGGACCAGAAAAGCAGTGGAGAATTAGAGCAAGTTAAGGGAAGTGCTCTCAGCATGAAAAAAAGATATGTTTTCTGGGTAAAATAACCTTTTTTATGCATGTATTAGCTATAAAATATGCAGAGGACACACCCAATATGTAAAGGAAAGGTGCTCTGCATATAGGTCACTAAAATGTAGCATTTGAAGTGGATCCAATCAGATGGAGTTAAACAAAGAAGAATGGGGAAAGAATACTCTTTACATATAAAAAGGCTGAAACACACACCCAACAGAAAGACTCCAACTTCAGTAAAATTTTCCAAAAAATCTTATTAGGGGGCTTGGTGTTGGTGGGCTGGAAAGTGGGAACATTTAGAAACTGTGGCAAAAAAATTGAACAATGATCGTCATCTACAGTAGTAGCCATTTAAAATGTCTTCACTTATTCTTTCCGTCATGATTTGTGGACATTAACATCTAAAGAGAAGCATCATCTCCTGGTTAGACCCTGCACTTCAGTGAAAGGGTGGAGTAAAAGAAAATATGCAAGAGGGGGTCACTCCAGTGGCTGGAATTTAGAGAGTATTTTGCTGGGGGTTGCAGGGAAGTGGGCTGCCATTCGGCTGGCGTTTGACTGGGAAGGGCCATTTTGAATGGCTGCTATTGTATTGTTTCCCTCCAGTCTGATTTTATCTGCTAATATGTTTCCAAAAATAAAACAAAGCAATCAAATCCAACTGAAGGCTGTCAAAGCTGATAAAGACATACTACCAAACATTTGCTGCTAAGGCGGCTGCTAGATAGCACTGACCAAAGGAGACTGGTATAGACATAGGTGGATGTATTGATGGTAGTTTAACTGGTTGTCTGGACAAGTTATGTAAATACATTATTGGTTTTCTTTATTCTTATTAGACATATATACCTAAACTCTATAAATTTTCACCTTATGTGGCTCTACAAAGAGATGAACTTGTGAAACTTTTACCTTGGTGAGCGCAATGAAGGACAGCGAGGCCACAGCAGTGAACATGATTGTAGGGATCAGCATGATTAATGCAATGAAAATGTTATAGCTGAAGAAGGAGATTGTCGCCAACCAGCCGCTGTAAAACAAATATATGACTGTTAAAAAATTTTCAAATATCAGCTCTAAATACAGAGGATTTAAAAAAACAAAAGGAACTATTGTTAATGGAAGGAGTAGCGCTCTTTCAACTAAAAAACGAAAAAAAAAAACTGAACATCTGGCTACTAAATGCAGTAATATTGATGGATTTAAGTATATTGATATAAAAATTTAACATTTGATGGATGAGAGCATTCCGATGCACATGGTGACATTTACAGATTTTATGGTGGGTGTCATAACATTCATTTCTTATCATCAGCTGGAGTCCTGTGACATTTGCTAGATTATTTTATTGGCCTCTTAAAATGTAATATAAGGACTAACATAAATGTTATATAAAACCAATATCTGAGAGTTTGACGTCGTCATTTTTATTAGAAGCAGCAGGAAAAACACTGTATTGAATTTAGGTGGCATTTTAAGGTTTCTTAAGCACTGAATATTACAAAAACTCAATAAATGACCTTTTTTCTTTTTGGATTGGATGTATTTTATTGTACTTTATTAAGAGATATCATGATTTGTTTTAGTTCTTTGTCATTCTAACCATGAGAATTAGTTTAATGTTTTATCCATGTAGACAACCTACATTGTTTACTTAAAGTTGTTTTATGTTTTAACCTTGTCTACTGGAACATTTCCTTTTTAAGGGAATCCATTTTTTTTTTCTTTTTTTTTTTTTTTTGCTGTTACAACTAAATTTTTTAATCTTTAGTTGTATCTTAAAATTCATTTCTGGGAATATTTTTTGTTATACCAACATAATGAATGATAGCCAAGTCAATAGAAATTAATACATAGTTTTCAAAATGTTTTGCCAATTGAAATCTGGAATCTGTTATATTATTTTCTGGTTGAATTACATACTCTGCTACCTCTAAGTAAGATTAAGTAGAACAAACTGCCTTCAGAAATAATCCAGCTAGAGAACAGAAACCACCTGTGTGCATTTAGTCTCTGTATAAATCCATCCCTTTTGTAAAAGGCCTCTGAGATTTGTTTGGGGAAAAAAATAGTGAACAAACGACATCATGAGGACTAAGGAACACAGCTGATGGATCAGGAATAGTGCTGTAGAAAAGTTAATAATAGAGTAAGAGCCCATGTCTAAACTTTGAACAGCACAATTTAATCCGCCGTCTAAAACTGAAGGGTATGGAAGACCAGTTACCTTCTAAAGGATTGGCTGTGCACCTAAACTGTTAGAAAATAAGTTTTAAAGTATTAAAACATTAATCAGAGAAGCAGGCAAGAGTCCCATAGTAACTCTGGTGAAAGGCTAAAAGTCTAAAGCAGGAGAATCTATTAACAGAACAACTACTAATTCATCCTTAATGCAGAGTGACTAGAAAAAAGACTTAGTTGAAAGATGGTCAAGAGATCTTGTCCCAGTTTAGTACAAACATTGTAGGGGAAAAGGAAAGCTTTTGGCTCATGTTGGTCTGAGATTAAAATAAAATAAACAATCCCCTGCTACAGACTAGTGACCCGTCAAGACTGCCAGAGAGGCACCGGCCCCACAGAATCCCTGACGGAATAAGCAGGAGTAGATAAATGGATACACTATCCTCACAGGGACATATGGAAATGGCAGCATCATACTGAATGTGCTTTACATCAACTTGGTCGGAGAAAATGGATTGAGCTAAATAGAGAGTAGTCCTGAAAGAAAACGTGTTAAAGGAAAAGTCCGGTCAAATTCAGAATACAAACTTCTGAAAGTACTTTATATATGAAATTATTACATACTGTTCAATAAATGATAAGTGTTTTTAATTAAGAGTCATTTTCATCTGAATGTGCTATACCGGAGGCATCCATGTTTGGAAAAGAGCACTACTGCCACCTACTGGTTTGTGATGTTACAGTGCGGTATCGGCTGTTGATCAAGTCCCAGTGCTGTATCATGTGTTTGACACAACGCGCTATTATCCAGTTCATCTTAAAAACATTCTTTTTCCAAATGTTGGCTACATGTGATGTGTTTTTTCTCTGGCCAGAAGTTCAATAGCAAATCCTCCCTCTTCAAGTTGGCAATCCAACAATGAACCCGTTCGTGGAGATCATGAATCGGAAAGATGAAATAACTAATTTGTTTCACTTTTACCCAATGTATTTCAACATCCAGCTGCCATGCACGTGGGCATTGTCAGTTTAACTATAGCTCTGGTGAATTTCAATGGTGAAGTCCTCTGGAAATATTCAATAATTGTTGTTGATTGCAGATGGGTCTAGTAGTTTCCATTGATTTTGCTTGTAAAGCGGGGAGAATGGAGCTAGGCTTACCGCACCGTGACGTCACTGCTGGAAGATGTCAGGAGTGAGGTGTTACTATATTTGGGCAAAAATGGCCGCTCCCAGACTCAGCGATTACAACGAAAATTTTTTATTTTATTTTTATTTTTTTACTGATTAGCACTAAATTCATTAAATCAGCATGCATATTAGTTTTAGGTATAAGTAATGATCCATTAATCATTCCTTGCTGACCGGACTTTTCCTTTAAAGGCTGCAGAAGACTAAAGACTGGAGTGGAGGTTTACCCTTAAACCCTATTTCTGTTTTCAAATTCAAGGTCCAGATCTATACCAAATAATGCAGCCATTTAAAGACTCTAATACAGGTTTTTGTAGATGTTCATCAATTCTAATAACTATGAATTAATTTTCAACATACAATGAGAAAAAAAATCAGCTCCTATATGAGCAAATTTTCATTAGAATGGAGCCTAAAAAATTTAGTAGCTTTAATCTCAACAAAACATGTGTTACAGAGCAAAAACCCAAGAAGGCTAAATAACACAATACTACGCACACAGCTTTTTTTTCACAAAACATGTTTCCATGTTAATGTATAAAAAAAAAAAATAAAAAATGTGTATAATTTTTCCTGACACTTTAAATAATCCTCCAGGTTTTGTTGGTTTATCGTAGAAAATCTAAATTGATCAAAGTTTTTGGTTGTAATTTTAAACATAAAATGTATCTTAAATATAAAATACAAGGGGCCGGATTTATCAAGATCCAATTTTGCGTGCAGTAATTTGCGCTCGCAAACTGGAATTTTGCGCGAGGGGCTGAACCATGGTTTGCGGGTGATTTAACAAGAGCGATTGCGTAACTGGTGGCAGGTGCAAAACTGTTGGAGACGCCCTATTTAAATGATGGTTTTGCGCGTTTTGTGGTTTGCGGCATGGCGAGTTTGGACAGCAGAAAGCGCAAAAGGAAATTCGACCCCATGGAAATGGAGGTGTTGGTGGATGAATCCAACAAACATTTAAGTGAGCTACAGCAAAGAAGTGTGACTGTCACACAGAGGAACGCTATATGTGAACAAATCTGTAATAAAGTAAACGCTGTTGGTGAAACCTTGCGAACAGTGGATGAAGTAAAAAGAAGATACCAGGATATTAGAAGGCGAACCAAAGAAAAACTGGCATATAACAAAACATCTGCGAACAAAACAGGAGGGGGCACAGTAGATAAGATGCCTCTGAACAGCATTGAAGAACAAGTACAGCTGACGCTCTGTGAGGAGCAAATCACTGGAATTGCAGCTCCAAAATGGCAATGCTGGATAAACGATATGTTTTGATGATCGTTTCCTCCTTCATTCCAAAAATATTCACACGGAGTGAAAAAATGCGTTCTCTGCGTCTCTTTGCTTCATTTCCATGTCTCCTTCTTGCGACAATAACCGCTGCCATGTGTGCGCAATTACGCATACAGACCATTTGCACCTTCTTTTGAAACGTGTTAAATATAGAGTCAGATACCGTTAGCAAAATTGCTTTCAGGTTTGATAAATCACTTTGCGAGTGCTAAATTAATATATTTACATGTTCTCCTCCCACAAGACGCACTTTTGCTTGTAAACGCCCCATATTGCATATTCATAGCAGAAAAAGTACTAAATGGATAAGAGGCGCTATTTAGCACATTTTAAAGACCAAATCCTTTTAGCACGCTGTTGATAGATCAGTTTGTACATTTTTTAGCGTGCGCAGTGAAATAGCACACGTTTTTATACACGCAAACCTTTGATAGATCCGGCCCAAGGAGTATAAATGCTTCCTTGCTTTTGGACTCTAATTTCCCATGTCCTTCTTGTCCTTTTTTTTCTTTTTTTCCCCTTTCACCAGCTTGATTTGGTGTTTCATTTCCTGTATTGTGTTTATTGCTCTCTCTTATTTATTGGTATTTCAAATTTTTGTTGTTCTTTTACTCCTTGGATAAGGTATTTAATTGAACTTTATCTGTATTAACTTCCTACTATATCCTGTTGGTACAGTTGTATTACGGCAGAAGGTATTTCTTATACTGAAATATTTGTTTTCAGCTAAGCTTAAGCGTTTCCTTAAAGGTAAAAGTTTCCTAAGAAATGGCACAAGCAAGCTTGTGTATAAGAAAACACAGAAAATAAAGTTTAATAAACACAGTTAAAGTGTAAACTAAAATAAATTTCTGTAACTCTTACCATACTCCCCATCCTGGGATGCCGATACTCTGGATGATGCTGATTCCAACTTGGGCCATGAAGACAAAAAAAAACAGCATGAAGTTGAAGGAGCTGTCAGACCTATTAGAGATACAAAAAAAAAGATATTAATAATTAAATCATACTTTTTTTCAATTAGTTTTTTTTTTTTTTTTACCAATCTATATGGATTTTGTACATTGACATTTAAAGTAAACAACTTCTGTAGTTGCGTAAAAATACTTAAAAATAAAATCATAATTTACTACAGTAGCATAATCTAACATAAGATCCTTTTCTTAACCTACAACAGCTTAATCTTTAGTGTTTATGCTAGCTCAACTAACCTGTGTGCTTTTAGCGCCTAGTCTTACTGTATGTCTACTTCTGTCTCCCTGAACCCCAGTTGGCTTCAGCAAATGGCCGCTCACACTAAGTCTTGTTCTGCTGGAGGTTTCTTCTTGTTAAAGGGGAGTTTTTCCTCTCCACTGTTGCTACAAGCATGCTTAGTGTGAGGGATTGCTTTCGAGTCAATGAGTCGATGCAGTTAACTGGTTTTCCTTAGATAAAAACTTTGAATCAATCTGACTGACTGATCTGGTGAACTGTAAAGTGCCTTGTGTTGTGAAATGGCACTATAGAAATAAACTGAATTGAATTGAACTGAATTGAATAGATGCAATTGATCAGCTGGTAATGGCAAGTTTTGAGCCCATATCTAAAGTATTTGTCTAAGGAAGATCAATAAATATTAACCTCAGTAAGATGGAATGTTGTTTATCTATAAGTACATTATAACTGTCTAAGATCACTGGTCTTCTGTGTCACAACATTTTCATATTCAGGAAATCTTTGTCTGCCTATTGAAAAATCCATGCAAACCCATGTAAAGAAAAATAGATATGAAAAAAAAATCCTCAGTTACATCTCTTTAATAAAAATTTAAAAATAATATGCTGGTTTTATTATAAACACACAAAATCTTTGCATGGGTTGAACTGAAAATTTCTTTTTTCTTTTTTTTAAGTTGTAATCTTAAAAAAATCTTAATAAAAGACCAATTTGACAGGTGCCAATAACTCTGGATTGGGCAATATGTAATTTGTTTGAAAGGCCTTTAAGGCACCTTTTTCGGTTGATTTAAACTTCATCTTGTGTTAACATGCACATTTATTTAATATACATTCTGACAAGCGGATGTTTCAAATGAGATCAAAACTGGTTTTCCATTAAAGTTGTTGATGCATGGAGTCCATTATTGGCAAACTGTAAACAACAATACACTTTTTCATAATCAGGTAATGTGTTTTTAGAAGAAAAGGTCCTTCGTCATATAAAGATGTTTGGTTTGAAATCAAATTACACGCATGCTTGTTAAACCAAGATTCCTCTTTATCTTGAAAAATGTACACATATTCACTAATTTACAACTGAAAATTAAACATTTTCAGAATAATATTGCAAACCATGACAAGTTTATAAAATCCAACAAGAATAATGTTAGAGATTCAGTATTTAACTTACTTGAATGCCTTGTAGATGGGCCTGAACCAACACACGTAGGAGCAAGGAGTAAACATTAGGAGCCAAATAATGGACAATCCAAAGTTGGTGACTCCACCGCCACCAAACATCCAAGCAAAGCAAGCAATAAAATTTACTGCAAGGGTTGCGCTGTTCACTGTAAAACATTGCAGACATGTTTTAGTCTTTGGGACAAAACACAAACAAAGGCTTATATTTTCTTTATTCACATGCACATGCAGAAAAGAGCTTAAAAACAATAATAAAAGTGATGAGAGGATAGTCTTCACCAACTGAAAAGGAGTTAAAAGCAGATTTAGTGTTAAGCTTTATAATCTATACTTTTTTGTTACGCTGCCTTTATTTCAAGTAAAGGCAAACAGCTTTAAAACTGTCTGATTGGAAAATAAAGATTATAGGAAAAACCAATAAAATAATGTACTGTTCAAAGAAGAAAGAAAAAAAATACATAATTAAAATGAAATAAAAAAAGCAAGTGTAAAAAAATTTGAAAAAAACAGAAAAATAAAAGTGTGGGAAAGAAAAGGTATATTACTAAGGTAATGTACTTTTGCATACAACTGATTAAAAGACTCACAGAAAAAAGTGAATAGCTTCAATCACAAATCAAATACCTTCTGTTTAGCATTTATTTTAAAAAGACACCTGCAGGAAGAAAGAAAAAAATATGACTTGAAAAGTTATTTTACAGTGGAAGACATATGAAGTGTCTTGCCAAAGTATTTTTATCATTATATTTTCATCCAACCACATACCTTAATGTATTTAAATGTATGTGGCAACACAAAGCAGTGCATACATGTAATATGAACCTGAAAGGATAGTTATTTGTTAAATGATAAAGAATTAAAGATGAAGAAGCATTTATTTTCAGCATTTCAAATTCTATTATGAGTAATATTTTGTTTTATCTAAGTTACATCGAAGCCAGTTTAGATGGAGAGAAGTTGTGATATTTTTAGATCCTGCCACAGACTCTCAGTTAGATTCATTGGGCAAATGTTCTGACTTAGAATATTCCCTGAAAGTTAAAGTGCTCTTTCATCAAATTGAAGATCCAGTCCAGTCTCAAATCCTTTACACTCTATAACAACAATTCTCCAAATGAGTCCTCATTCCCCACCAGCTTTGACCTATTTCATGTTGATGGTCAAGTAAAGCATTCCAGTATAGAGCTGCCACTACCATTTCCTAATTAGCAATTGTTAAACTGAATCAATAAAACATATATATCTAGATATATGTAAAACTGTTTTGAAGCTGCAACATAAAAAGTTTAAACATTGTCAAAATTCAATTTCTTTTCATAACTCAATACAAAAAAGGAATGTCCTATTATTATACAAGAATTACTAGGAGATATATCATATTTCAGATGAGATTTTCTGAGAGATTATGTTTGTTTTACTGCTAATTTTGTAAATTGTATATATATATATATATATATATATATATATATATATATATATATATATATATATATATATATATTAACACAAAGTTGTATAGGAAAATTATACATGTGGTAACAATGCTTTTTGTAAATTTTTAAAAGTGCTACCACACCAGACAGGACCCCAGGTGCACACTGTGCAAAAGAGGCCCCTGAGACAATTCAGCACAAAGCTGCAGGGTGTAAGATGCTAGCAGGGAAAGCTTACATGGAGCGCCATAACCAGGTGGCTGGCATAGTGTACAAAAAACCTCTATGCAAAGTATGGGCTGGAAACCCCAGTTCAAAGTGGGAAACACCCCAAAGATGGTAGAGAATGACTGAGCCAAGATCCTGTGGGACTTCCACATACAGACGGACAGCGTGGTAATGACAAAGCAACCAAACATTGTGGTGGTGGATTAAAAGCAGAGGAAAGCCATTGTGGTTGACATAGCAATAGTACTGTAAGTGACTGCAACATCAGGAAAAACGAACATGAGAAACTCAAGAAATTACAGGGGCTCAGAGAAGAGCTGGAGATAACCTGGAAGGTCAAGATATCAGTGGTACCCGTGGTCGCTGAGGCACTCGGGGCAGTGACCCGCAAACCTGAGGAGAGGGTACAGCGGATCTCTGGAAATACATCAGATATCTTGGTCCAGAAAAGTGCAGTTCTAGGAAAAGCAAAGATACTGCGCAAAACCCTCAAGCTCCCTGGTGGGTGAGCAAGGGTTTATACATATATATATATATATATATATATATATATATATATATATATA